CTTATTTTTTTGTTTGTTTTTATTGGTTTTTATTGCTTTTCTATTAGTTTTTATTAGTCTTTATTGGTTTTCTATTGGCTTTCTCTTAGTTTTTATTGGTTTTCTATTGGTTTTTATTGGTGCTTATTGCTTATCTATTGGTTTCTATTGGTTTTGTATTGTTTTTTGGTTTTTATTCGTTTCTATTAGTTTTTATTTTGTATTATTTGTACTCTATTGGTTTCTGTTGGTTTTCTATTGGTCCTTTATTGTTTTTTTTTATTGTTTTTTTCTTAGTTTTCTATTAGTTTTTATTAGTTTCTAGTGGTTTTCTTTTAGTTTTATTGTTTTTTATTGGTTTTCTATTGGTTTTTATTGGTTTTCTATTAGTGCTTATTGGTTTCTATTAGTTTTCCTTTGTTTTTAGTGGTTTTCTATTGGTTTTTATGGGTTTTCTATTAGTTTTTTTTGGTTTCTATTGGTTTTCGATTGGTTTTTATTGATTGGTTTTCCATTGGTTCTTAATGATTTTCTATTGGTTTTTATTGGTTTTCTATTGGTTTTTATTGGTTTTCTATTGGTTTTATTAGTTTTTTATTGGTTTCTATTTGATTTATATGAAATCTATCGTATTGATCGTAAACTTTTAAACCCTAAACCCTAACCCCCTAAACCCCTAAACTGCATGTATGTATGTATGTATGTACGTACATATGTATATATATATATATATATTATAAGCATAATATCTGTATTAACTGACTGACTGATGGATTGATTGGTTGGTTGACTGATTGATGCACTGTGTAAGATCTCACCATGCTACACCAGAGAAAGTTGCAAGTAATCCGAATAAGCTATTCGTTGTACGAGCTCACATCACTCGAACTGAACTTCCGCTCCCCTCGGGCCCTGAATCCCTAAATGGCCCTAAATCTTACGCTTGGTTATTGCATTGATCTAACTCAAACCGTTGTCACCAAGACATTCGGTTCTGGGGCTTCGGATCAAGGTTGCAAATCCTCCTAGAACTTGAACTCCCGCCTCCAGCCCTAGTTCAACCCTGGACCACAAATCAACAGGCGTAACTTTTTCATGGGGCCGCCAAAGCCGTAGCCTTGACCCTGACTCCAAACCAAAGCGTACATCCCAGACCCAAACAGAGCCTACCCCGATCAAATCGGCGGCAATACTGAGTCCGGGAATTTTATGGTGACGGGATGTTTCAGGTTTAGCATGCAAGGACTGGTAGGGTAGCCGTAGTTGGTTTGACAGGCTCCTAGATTGCACTGCGTGCAGGAAACAGACCCGAAAACACAGAAAGACTTGCGCCCAGCCAACTAAGCAGACCCCAAGGCTAAAGCAGTGAACCGTATACACTAAACTTCAAGCCCTAGTAAGAGTAAGCGTTTAGGGTCTGTCCGTGTTAGCATTTCGGGTCAAGCGCTGCTCAAGAGCAGCTGTTACGTTTGCAGCTTGAGGTTCACACTGATGATGTCACCCAAACCGATTTAAGAGGTTGGGGTTTAGGCTGATTATTTTGTTTTGGTCTACGGTTTTGAGATGCAGCTCGTCTTTGAATGCTCACTATTATTGTCTCCCAGGGTCACCAGGGAGCTGGAGCCGCTACTCGACGTGCTGGGGTCTTTTTAGAGCATATGTTGAACAGATTTGACGGCGTAGCCCTAGAACCTTGAAACTTGAAGCCCCAAACCTTAAATTCAGAAGCTCTGAAACCTAAACCTCAAGAATCTTTGGCCCCTTGACCGTACCTCCGCACACCCAAACCCTTGGCAACCCGCCAAGGCCGTAAAAAGGCACCCCGCAAAAAGCAAGAGGCAACACTCAGTCTGACATCTGGTCTGTCGAAACCCTACGCTCCTGAACCCTCAGCCCCGACACCCTCAAACAGGTGAGAGCTAACCGCGAACACCAAAAGCCCTAAGAGCCAGTAGGCGCGCTTTCGCGGGTGCCTTGAGTTGTGGTTGATCCCTTCCGAGAGTCCAGCTCTTATCTTTTTCACCCGGGGGATGCCAGCACGAAGCGCCAAACATCTCAGTCTTTGAATGTCGCTGAACCCCGGATGCAGCCAGGAAGCACTTTGCAAAGTCGCATGTGCAAGTGTCACGGAAAAACCCACGATTTGTCAGAAGTATCAGGATGTGAGGCCTTGTCGAGCGAGAAAAACTCAATCTCGGCCCAAATCTGATCAGCTTCCGAAACGCAAACTATAGAAAAACTCTGTTGGTCGCATCTTCATTCAATCAATCCCAAACCATCAAGCCGTGATTTCCGGGGAGCGACCTACGGGGAGGGAGATTTCTATGCTTAGGTCGTCTTGAAAGGTCCCTCTGCTTGTTCCAGGACCAATTCAGGTACCTAGGCGACCAACCTGCTGGGAAATGCGCACAAATCGATCGCTGCTCATGGAAGAGCGGCTGCGACCAATTTGGAGCACCACCTGATCCTCTGACCAGTTCTGTCTAAGTGTGTTTCCAGAGCAGATTACCCGAATTCCTCCTGTAATCCATAGGCCCTTTTCTTGTCCTCCTTGTGCTTATGCACAAGACTAATCGGCACAAAAGCAACCGGAAGTAGACATCCGCAAAAGATTGCTTGTCTGTTCTTCTGCTGAGTAATAGCCGGAAGATAGGTCAGGCAAGTACCCGCCTACCATGGGCGTCGATAGACCCCTATACAGCCTATACAGACCCCTATGGTTTCTCCATCCGATTCCCTGGAGCCCCCTATCCATGGGGTCTATGGCCTAGTCGGTAGGCAAGGTGTGGTAGGGGTCTATGCCTTTCAGATAGACCCCTATCAAATACGGGTCTATCCTTTTCCGATAGGCGGCTACTTTCCTGACTCTTACATGTTTGGACCTGGAATGTCTCTGCACAAGTGTAACAACAGGAACTCGGCAGGAACTATATTTCTTTGCTAACGGCGGCAAACTACCCGATTGCCGGAAGGTCTACTATAAAAACTAATGGGACACTGCTTTCACATCCCAAACAGGATCCTGCTAGTCAGGATCTGCTTCTCGCGGGTTGATTGAATGCACTTTTTTCATAGGACCTTCTACGGGACAAAGTGCTTAACCCTGCGTTCTGAGCAGGAGGCATGGCTGAGAGAATTCTCACCTTTCAGGTCCAATAGTCAAAAGTCTGTCTAAATCAGCCTGTTTAATGAAAGTCAACGCAGCCTCAGGTGCGGAGCATGAAAGTTTTGCTGCTCCAACTTAATGTGCCAATTGCCCACAGAATTCCGGATGCACACGCAAACTTATTCCAGAACAACTAGCTTTCCAAAACGAAACAGCAATGACTTCACGGCAAGAGCGCCCAACTATGAGCGTCTGTTGGTACAAGCAACCGACCCTGGCAAGTGTTCTGTCAAATGCCATGTGCAAGTGTCACGGGGAAAAGCCCAAGCCTACGGTCTGTCAGATGGATCAGGATGTGAGGCCTTGTCGAACGAGAAAATGCCATCTCGGCCGAATCTGATCAGCTTCCGAAACGCTAACTGTAGAAAAACTCTGTTGGTCGCATCTTCATTCAGAGAATCCCAAACCATCAAGCTGTGATTTCCGGGGAGCGACCTACTGGGAGGGAGATTTCTATGCTTAGGTCGTCTTGAAAGGTCCCTCTGCTTGCTCCAGGACCAATTCAAGCACCTAGGCGACCAACCTGATGGGAAAATGCGTGCAAGTCGATCGTTGCTCATGGAAGAGCGGCTGCGATCAATTTGGAGCATGTGGAATATCACCTGATCATTTGACCAGGTCTGTCTAAGTGTGGTTCCAGCGCAGATCACCCGAATTCCTTCTGTACTCCATACGCCCTTCTCTTGTCCTTCTTGTGCTTGTGCACAGGCATGTCTCTGCACAAGAGTAACAACAGGAATTCTGCAGGCACAATATTCTTTTGCTAACAACTGCCCGATTGCCGGAATGTTTACTATAAACACTAATGGGACGCTGCTTTCAAACCCCAAACAGGATCGTGATCTGCGGTCCTGCTAGTCAGGATCTGCTTCTCACCGGTTCAGTGACTGCACTTCTTTCATAGTGCGGAGCATGACTCGTCAAAGGCCCGCTTTGCACAGTCTTGTTGATCCAACTTCATGAGCATGTCCTGGCAGGTGCTTTGTTATATGTGCAAGTGTCACGGGGAAAAGCCCAAGCCTACGGTTTGTCAGATGGATCAGGATGTGAGGCCTTGTCGAACGAGAAAATGCCATCTCGGCCGAATCTGATCAGCTTCCAAAACGCAAACTATAGAAAAACTCTGTTGGTCGCATCTTCATTCAGAGAATCCCAAACCATCAAGCTATGATTTCCGGGGAGCGACCTACTGGGAGGGAGATTTCCATGCTTAGGTCGTCTTGAAAGGTCCCTCTGCTTGCTCCAGGACCAATTCAAAAACCTAGGCGACCAACCTGCTGGGAAAATGCGTGCAAGTCGATCGCTGCTCATGGAAGAGCGGCTGCGATCAAGTTGGAAGAGGTGGAACATCACCTGATCCTCTGACCCGGTCTCTCAAAGAAGACTTCGTGTGTTTCCAGAGCAGATTACCCCAATTCCTTCTGTAATCCCTAGGCCCTTTTCTTGTTCTCCTTGTGCTTATGCACAAGGTTGATGCCTTCTGGAAGCTCCAAATGGGTGTCAAAGGACACAATCGTGCCTTGAATTCTCTGTCCGTATTACACCATGAAAAAACGGCGTGGCGGATGCACCATGCTGACCTGAGATTTGTGCAACTTGCACTGCCCGGCGTGCTAAGACAATCCAAATTCAGTAACCCACCGCGACGCTTGTTTGAATGGTCACTGCGCTCAACTGTCATGGACGGGTGCAGCTTCAGCCTCTTGTTGTTGCTTTGCCTGAAGGCCTTGAGATGCCCACTGCAAGTATGAAATGTCCTTTGCTTCCTGAGGATCTAGTCCTGGGTCCGGAACAGTCACAGGTTTCACTTGGTTCATCAGTTTGACGAGATGGCATGTTTTCTGGGCCAAGGTGCCAGGCGCGTGTAGCCCCTCTGGGTCCCGTCAATTGCTCCACAGTTGATGACCTCCAGTACAGGGACATGAAGCGCTCGGAGGCTGTGGAGGATAGACATCCGTCCATCAGTCATCATGCTTTCTTGGTTCGAGCTGTTTGGTTTAGAACCGCACGCTTACATTATGCTTTCCATGCTTTCGGGCGCAGTCTGAGTGGCAAGAAGACTGAGTGGATGGGTCTCTGGGTCCCTACACCCATTGCAGCGTGTTACAGCAACGCGTTCTGTCAAGGAAAGGCAAGAGGTTATCTGTGTAAGGTTCCGGTTGACATGACAATTTCAGAGTTGCAGTTGCTCACATACCAATAGTCACCGTGACCTCACACAGACCAGCTGACCCACTTACGCGCAGGCGAGGAACAGCGGCAGCTGTAGCAGCTGCAAAACGCTCGATGGCTTCCCCAATTTTCGACTGATCCTGGCCACACTGGTAGAGGTTATCGAACCTTGGCAAAGAACGCAACATGCCCAAGATCCATCTTCCGACATTCTACGTTCGGTATCGTTCCTGGAAAGGGTAAGCTTGCAAATAAACGACACACAGCTGGGCTTGATGCTTTCTTATGCCTTGCAATAGGCTGCCATACGGTGGGCTATCATTGCTTCGTCCAGCTCGCACAACGTTGCCGGATCCTAACAGATCAGAGCAGCATGTAGAACGGGCACTCGTAATGGTTGCGCGCAGCGTTCTCGGCAAAGTAGCCCAAGGAAGCCACCCTGGGTGAAGAGCTAGGTTTGCAACAGTGAGCTTTCACCTTTGGCGATGCTACTTACTTACTGGGCACGCTCGGCGGACACCTCGAAGCAGGTGCCTCAAACATGGGCGAGTGCAGCAAGCATTTTAGATCCTGCTGCGCCGAACCACCCGACGATATACTAATGCTAGAAGGTCCTCGCGGCTGTATGAGTACATAGACCTTGTCTGTGTTGTAGGGGCATGAGGGCATCAATGTGGCTGCTTCAAAAACCAGTCAGATTAGCCCGACACGTCCTCCATGTGTGAGCTGCACTTAATGAAAAAGCTCTATAAATGTGCACGTTTGGGGTTCCGTCTCGAGCCCTGCTGATTGAGGTCCGTATCACGAAAAGTATAAGGAGCTTCGACAATAGCTAGAGGGGATCCAAATCCAACCCTGTACGGAGCTGCAGCTGCTCCTCCAAGAAATCGGAAATCCCACCCCTCCAACAACACCACCGAGATCGCATCGTCATTGCACGATAGAAGCCTCCAATTCCAAGGCTTGCCACCCGGTCAGATCCTTGTTAATCAGTCTAAGTGCGTGGATGCCAAATCATGCTTTCTGGAAAACGATCACACAGAAATCCAGCCAGAACACCACTTGAGACCTTCCCATACAGAGTCCCAGCAGCATGAATGCAATCATGCTCCCACAAGCTGCGGGCAGACTTTGAGTGGCATCGCAAGCTTCCAAAGACTCCGCCACGTACCTTTCTGCAAGACCGAGGCGAAGCACAAAGCATGCAGACATGTTTACACACGTACAGTCTTGGGAAAATAAAATATGCATCCAAGGCTTCTTCTACAGGCAATGCGAAATTAGTTTTTGGTAGGCTTCGCCTTCAATTATCACAGAAATCCACATCCTAAAGGCCTGCGGAGTGACACCCCCTGCACTCTTCACCTGGAATTCAACTTCAGAGCTGCATAGGCGCAGCGGAATCTGGAAACCATCCATACATACCCACCACTAGAACCGTGAGTAAGGCAAAAATCATGCTCGTGATTGTCATGGTCGCGGTTTTCCGCTCCTGTGATTTTCAAGGCCCGACCTGTGAGCCCAACCCTTGTGAGTCCTGTACTTAATAGGTCCCACGAGACTGAGTTATGGGAAGCATATCGGAAGACCCATTTGCCAGAAATATTACGTAGGAACAAGAATAGACGTCGCTTCCGTGCTCATGCTTATGTGGGAATGGGAACGGAGCCCTACCGTAGTCCCGATATGATGCCCAGTAGATTTCCCATGAATGTTCCTTATCCTCCCTTCTCTCATGTCTCAAAACAAACAGCCAAAAGCAAGCTTCATTTTCAAGCCTAGGAGCGCCGTTGCAGAGCCAATCAGCTTCGACATGGAACCTTCTGATATGGCTGAACCGTAATCCTTGCAACTAAAAATAGTTCCACCCTGTATTGAATCACATTGGTTCGGCTGGGGGCGCCTGATAATCAAGGGGAGTGGGTTATTACGCCGCGAATCAACCTTACCTGTAAGCCCTCTTCAAGGAAATACCTTGGTATTGACACGAGCTTTTCCGGATGCCTATATGTTCAAGCATGGCGATATCATCTCAATAATACCATCGTTTAGTGAAAGATTCAAATCATGCGGTGCTAACGGAGAAGAAGATGAACTCCATTCTAGGTTTTGGCATGGTTCTACCCGTGAAACAAGGAATCCCATGTCGGGGACATCTATCAGGGCGATACTGCTCCATTTATTGGTCGTTACTGACTTCAATCGAAACAGGTTTAAGAGCAGCAATATAGCATGGAGGAATCTGCAAGCAGATGTGGATTTTTGCCAGGCTTCTTGTAATTATAGGTGTCTCCCCGGGAGTGCAAGCTTCCTGTATTGCATTTCAACTCTTCGGCGAGCCTGGTGCATGGACTGAGGTTTCCCAAGCTCTGTATTGCAAACTGTGATGGCAATTGTGCCTTGCTCGAATATGGGTAATTAATTCTGTAGACTAGGGTCCCCTTGAGGGTCCTTTCTGTCTGGGTGCTGTACTGTTTTGGCGACCTAACAAGGAACGCTAACTTACAGAACTACGCATATGTGCTTGTGGGTGGTCTTTAAGTTCCTGCAGCCTTCCGGCGACCTGACTTGAAAACGTAACAAGCAACTTCATTGCACAAGTAGACGAAATTCAGCAGCATGGACCGGACACAGGCGCTGAGGCGAAGACCTGAATACCTCCCGCACTCTCCTTGGATCTCCCTGTTGTCCGCCCAAACTTTCTGCCGCTCCTGCAATTCTGCAATTCTGGGTGATTCCTCGAGGCTGGAAGGACAGGCCTCTGGCACCAGCACCAAACATGAATCCTCCGTGAGATAATAGTAGTAGTATCATTAACAAGAATAATCACAATAACAAGAGTAGTCATCATCAGAATCGTAGTGTCGTGCGGTAGTAGCCGCAGCCATTGAACAGGAACAGCGATCGTGCGTTCTTTTGATTGACTGTCTTTGCGATTAGTCTCGGGTAGAACAAGGAAACTGCCAAATAAAAGAGAAAACTCCTCGCGCCGGTACTTGTTTAACCTTCAACAGCTTCAAACCAGCAAGTTTGTGAAGAATAGTCCTCATCAGCAAGCTTAAACAGATTGTAGACATGTTGTTTCTCCCAACCATGTCCGTTGCTCCGCAGGCGCAGACCTCAGAGTACAGAAGCCTATACCAAAATCCCGGTGCATGCAGAGTCATTGACCTCGGATCTTCCCTGCTGTTCGGTCTGCGCAGCGGGATGCTTGTGCTGCCGTGGGGCAAAATCTTCTTCGTCACGATCGTACTCGCAGCATTTTCGGAGAGGCAGACATTTGTCATGGACAATTGCCCCAACCTTGCTTTGGAGGGCTGGAAAAACAATCCAATTAACTTTTGTGCTGATGCTTAAGGGCGCGATCGGGGTGCGAATCCTTCAGGTGGTCCACCCAAAAATCCTGTGTTTGGCAATTGTCTATCACGGGGCAAAAGGGCCTCAAACGCAGAGTTCGAGGCTTTCAGCATCTGAGCCGTCAGAACTGCATCTATGCTCAAGCTTCAAGTTCACATGTGGCGTGCAATGTGCCGAACTAATGTGCAACTAAAGCTCTCCGGCGCATCAGGATACCACGAAGCTTAAACTCACTATAAGCCCCCTACTAGATCTGCAATGGCCTCTAGCATTGATGTAGCTGGCAGTATCGCGTGCTGGCCACTACTCAAGACAAGTGGCCTGACCGATGCCTGCAAAGGCTGCCATGGCTAGGAGGATGTTCTGCGAACAGACCTGAGGTCAGGTGTCGATTCGGATGCACTTTCACTAGATCCTCGTCAACTTTGCGTTTGCTGCTGGTGGGGTGGGGTGGAGACAATTTGGGTATTTATATGGGACATAAGCACAGGTGCGTGCTACTCGCGGTTAAGATCACGGCATGTCCAGGACAGGCCAAAGCAACAAGTACGCCAAATGCGCATCCAAGCACATGACCTGAACTGTTTGTCACGTTAGTCTGAAGGACGACGAGGCAAACAGTTCAAAAGATCAACAAATCATCTGACGGAAGCTGCCTGCAATGCCCCGACGCTACAAATACATGCGTAGCAGGTGGACGCTTGACTTCGTTAAAATGATTGTTGGGGCTAGTTGTTGGGGCTAGCAGTATCGGCATGATTTCTAAAGGCATGCAGGGCAGTTTTGCTCGAAGCTAATCCAGTTTTTTTAGATTCAAGACTCTGAGCGGCTGTGCCGGTGTTGGAACAACTTCCACCAGCTCTGGCAGCCTTGCTGACACATCTGACAGTGCTTCCATCCGTTCAAGCCAACAGTCTCACATCTGCATCTACGAAGGTCCGAGTAACAAGACCTTCACTGATTGTAGCCAGATGAAGCTACTCACGGCAGTTTGATGCTTGCATGCTCCAAGTTCGCTTACAATTTGTGATACTGCATTGTGCGAGCCAGTGAAACCTGCATACGTTTTATCATCAAACTCTCCGCTCTGGTGGCCGGGTACAGCACGAACCAAACTTGACGTTACAACCATGGCTCGGAAATGAGGTATACTGGGATATGCATGGCGTGCTTCTTCAGGCACTAGTACAGTATGTTGCTTGCAACCGGAGGCTGACTCATTCTTGCCAAATGCCTGCTCAAAAGCTACCAATTCTGTGATCGTAGCGTTCGTGACTTTGGGGCAGTAGGAGCTGCAAGCGGCACACCATGTGCTCAGACTTGCTGGAATGAGCGTTGGACGGATTCCGGGCAGCTCTGTTGCCAAGGGCTCGTTGAGGAGCTCCAGATGAGCAAGCTGTGCATCGTCCCGTGCCAACTCGCTGGACGGGCAGCTCCAGGTGCACATGAACAATCGTCATGTTTCTTGTTGCACAAATGTCAGGGTGGACAGGTCAGTTAACCCGTCGGTCTTGGAAAAGCGTGGTGTCGCATCGCTGTGAGAAGCCAGAACGCATCGCACTGTTGCGGCTCGTGTGAGTGCTGGATTCGCTCAAGCACTCGGGCCGCGGCACAGACTTCTCCAAGATCCAGATGCTTGGTTGGCCACTCGGGTCTTTGTGGGATATCGTGACAAAGGGTGCTGGCGTGGATAAACAGTGAGTGAAACCCAGCTGGTGGCTCCGGTAGTGCCAAGAGTCCAAGAGGACAGCAGATAGAGAAGTAGGGACTGCGGAAAGTCATCCTAAAGGCGACGCTTGCCTTTTGGTGACCTTGCCGGGCTCTGTGCATTAACCCGTGATTGCATAGACACAAGCAGCTTGTGATGAACGTGGGCAGGATCGCAGTAACGAGCTTTCGACACTCCAAGGGGTGATGTCGTGTTATCCTCAAGGTCCATGGACTTAGATGACTTTACCACTGTCAAAACATCGCCTCAAGCAGGGGCCACAAAGTCGAGCCTTCCACATGACCGCTGCGTGATCTCAGGGTTGAGTCTTTCTTGCTTTTGTCACCGAAAGAGCTACACATGAGCGAACGCCTCAAAGAATATGGCATGGCAAAGCTTGCCCTGGGCAGGTTTTGTTGTGTCCAGAAATTTCTGAGCCCCTTGGCTCACTCTCTCTCACTACAGGCTCAATCCGTTCCTTCCGGCTATGACCGTGTGAGGGCGGTTCAGTGGTGTCTGCCAGACCCAGGCACAGCCTCTTCCGCACGTTGAAGAGCATAACTTTCTAGGCACTCTGACCGAGATGATTCAATGGCGCTGTTGATGCCGTTTCCTCTGTTCCTTCTGGGGTGCGGTGGTGCCGACATGGCCCCTCCTGTGTGGGTATAGTGCGTCAGCGATCTGGCTGTTTGCTTGGCTGAATGTTGCTTGCTTCGGCGAGTTAGAAATGTGACGAAAATCGCATGAAGAGATTTTGAAAGATCTCGGAAAAATTGCTTGTCTGAAGAAAACTACACGTGTTAAAGTTTAAAACGCAGGCAAGCAGGAATCTTCTCTCATGCACACTACAGTCTTTTAAGAATGCAATGTCAATTTAGCACGCCAAGACGCCCCGCAGCAAGAAATGTATAGTAAGGATTAGGAGGATAAGATTTCTTTCCACGCAGGTTCCTGTGCCAAACTATGATTACACAACAGCGCTCTTCGTTCTCGTCGGACGAAATAATAGACAACGTGCCGAACCTTCGAACGATTTCCTGCAACCTTGGTTTCAGCCGCCATTGTGAAGCATTATTATCATTATTACTTCTCTACCTCAAAACCTGCCCAACGTCTATCCACAAATTTAGTCCGGCTTTAAGCCCGGCTTTAAAAGCGCGACATATCTAATATTCAGCAAAACTGCCACCGGAATCATGCTTGTACTTGGGGGGAGCAGGGCTCGTTTGTTGTTTGAAGAGGGAGGCAACTGCTCGTTGTAAACTGGGCCACTGGTGGTCATCTACACGTCTCAGACTTTGCATCGCAGATGGGCCGCCTTCGTACCAGACAAGAAGAGGGTCCGTGCGAATCCCAATGATTCCTCGGCGAAACATTCACGGCACGACTTGTTGCTTCAGATGAGGCAGCATAGATCATGCGAGTTCAATCAGTTCGGTGCACCCGCCTCAGCTTGAATAACATTGTCAAATGCAACAACATCACCACCAGCAGCCCAGTTCCAGCATGTTCCAACGCAGCTTCCAAGAGCAACATTCCGCCAGCTGCACACGTAGTTTGGACGGAATACTCGAGTTTCATTTTCGTCCAAGGCTCCTGAGCGCAAAGATCCCGGGCCTCTTCTGCAGGAGTGTAGCCACGCCTGGTTTGGGAGTTATTAGCTACGTAGAATAGATGCAATCCGTGCTTCCAGCAAACATGGCCTTGAGGTTTTCCAGGTACTTAATTTCATGTAGTCAGACTGAAGCAGTGCAGTGGTGGGGGCAACAGCAAAAACAAGTACCCCCAGTGCAAAAGTAATTGTTGGCAAGGCGCGGGAACGCGTAGGGAGGTTCCAGAGCAGCATCTTGCGCAGCCTCTCGTCTCGTAGCCCGCAGCATACAGTTTCAATAGCTGTGACATACAAGCCGACAGTGTGGTGTGGGTGTGTGTGCACCTCCTGTACCAAAGGATGTAGGAAGCAACATGCAGGATGCCAACGAAGCTACGGAGCACAAGTGGATGGGAAGGTTAACGTACATTCCTTTACCTGCAAAGAGGCTGGGACCCTGAGCAAGCAAGATTAGAAGGCCCCTGTGCCAAGATTAGACATCCAGTTGTAAAATGATTGAACGGCATGATGAAATGCACTAGCACAAACAGCATCCCTCTAGGTAAGGATGACTGGTCTGCAAAGTGTGTTTTCCCGACAGTAATTCTGCGCTGTCGGACTCCCGGTCAGTGGGGGGGATCTTGGAATATCTGGTTTACCATGACTACATCTGGAGTTTGCTAGCGTGTGAGCTTCAAGGCACCGGAGCCCCCACTGAATCAGGCTTCAATTGCAAACATTTCGCACTGTCATCATGGAATCAAGTAACATTCATGTGTCACAACTCTCGTTTGCTATCCTGAGCCATGGCAAGATACCATTTTCATGTCCAGCCGCTGCAACAACAAGAAGGAGGACCACGGGAAGGAGAACCCTCCAAGTTCACGAGAAGTAGAGCCTCCTTCAGCTTCACCATATTCTGCAGTGGTTTTTCCGGAGCCCAGAATATTGCAGCGACCAGCACGGCCCTCGCAGGCATTATCCGCCGACCCCTGCTGGGGC